AAGCGGTATTTTAGCGCACTTACGGTGCAAAATTGTTGTGGATCGCTAGGATCCACCCAAATATAATTGATAAACAGCGTGGATCCACAACAATTCTTCACCGTTCCACGCTGTTTATCAATTATATTTGGGTGGATCCCAGCGATCCACAACAATTTTGCACCGTAAGTGCGCTAAAATACCGCTTCAGGCGCCTGAGCAGTGATGGTTTTTCGTTAGCCAGCATTGTCTTAGCCTTGGCTTACACCAACAACTGGTGTAAGCCAATCGTTAGCCAGCTATCTGTGTGAAATGAGTACATTCAAAGTATAATAATTTTTGATTTGCGTATTCTGATTCAAATCATACAAATTTTAAAAAAAATTAATATATTTCAATTAATTTTCAATTTAAAAGTCATTTTTATAATTTGAGTTATTTTTTTTTTCAAAAACTTAATAAAAAAAATGTCGATGTTTGGTTTTATTTAAACTCTGACCTGGTGATTTAAATGTCAGTCACAAACGTCAGTTCAGATGATTGCGTTCAGTTCTTACTGAAGTTTTTTCACTGGTCTACACATTCGTTAGCCAGTATACACTTATGCGGCTAATTAGCCAGCTAATTGGTTCTTCACTGCGCCTGAGTTAGCAAATTCAGCTCAGCTCAGGCCTACTCAGCAGCAAATATGCAATCTCTGTGATTAACTATATACTTAATCATGATTAAGTTGTCACAGTTAATCACGGCGACATCGTGATTAAGACAACAACTTAATCATCATCGATGATTAATTAATCAATTGCACAATCACTTAATCATGATTAATAGCGATTAAGTGATTAAGTGGTCGTATTAATCATCGCGAATTTTAGGTGTTTGATTAAGATTAATTAATCTTAATCAGATAGTCCGCCCATCTGTATACGGAGTATTACGCATACACTCTTAACTGGAGTAAACATCAGTGTGACTACTTCAGTAGGGAACGACTGTCTACTTACTTATACATGCATAAGTTTGACGCTTGCTCTATACTAGAGTATCCACGCAATTATATAGAAGTAAAAAAATGTAATTCCTATTACTTTATTACCTACTTATTACTGTAATAAGTAATATGGCTTAAGATAGAGATAGAGTAGCTTGAAAGAGAATGAAGCTTGAAATACTGATTTAACCCTTTGACGACCAATGGGACACATATGTCCCATTTTGTTTTTCATCTGTAATAACTACATTTTTTTAACCAATTTTAGTAAAATTGGTTTCGTTTGAAAGAGAATTAATGTAGCTATCAGAAAGTACCATAATATTGGATATTTATTGTAAACGCAATTGGATAGAACACTCTAAAGTAAAAAAATCTTGACTTTTTTTTCAAATTTCGCCAAATGCTATAAAATTATAACGGTGGAACTTTTAAAGCTGAAAATTTGGAATAATGTGCGAAATGTCCATTACTTTCCAAAAATCATCGGCTTTATTTAGAAAAAACGTTTTTTCCACTTTTTATTGCGTTTGGCGGGATGGGACATATCGTCAAAGGGTTAAAAACGACCAGACACAGAAAGGTATTAATGGTTTCTAAATGTTTATTGTTGTTTATGCAGTGGAACAGAAAATGAGTTATCATAATTGAATTTTGGCAAAATGTAAGGCAAACTCCAAATACATCGCCAAAATTGTAATCTTCCAATCCAAAAAAACAAACGGTTGTATTGTGGATTCGAATCAAAGTAGCTAGATTGGTTTGTTGTCAGGTCAGTGACATATTAATAGCTATCGAATTTAAAACCCAAAAAATATTAATTGCGAAAAAAATTAACGTACAAGAGATGACGCAAGAAGCCTAGGATGACACAAGAATTGAAGTAATGACAAATATAGCGACAATAACCCGAAGTTTTGAAAATAGTGCAACTCGGCGAATTTTAGCCGAAACGGCGAGCCGATTTGGCTAGTAAGTAATAAGATTATCTTATTACGGTAAAAAGATTGTAATTGTAATAAGATTGTAATAAGTATTTTATTACTTTTGGTGCAAAAAAAAAATCGCAAAAATAGTTTCATGTAAAAAACATGTCAATTTTTGTCAGACGAAAAAATGTGTCTTGCAAAATTTGACATGATTTTTGTATGAAACTTTTGAAGAAAAGTGATGGATTTCTAAAAGAGGTTTCCAGAATTCGAAAATTTTCTCAAAAAATTGTCGGGGAGACTATTTCTGATTGATTTAAATATATTAAATTAATTTCTGGCTAAGTGAATAATATTACCATTAATAAGAGCGCTACAGGATAAACGTATACCTTAAAGGTATGCTTTTTTAAAAAAATACTCTGATTTCTTTAAAACTCATTCTCCAGAACTATAATTTTAGAAAATTGCATCTTGAGATGTGTATTTCTAGAAAACACATACAAGATACACGTATTTGTATGTCAATGTGCTATTTTATAAAAATTCATACCTAACGATAATTTTTTCTAAAATCATAGTGCGGTTACAGGAGTTTTAGAAAAATCCACAATTAAATATGGATTTTTATAAAATTCATAGTTAAATGCATCATTTCTCAAGTAATATGATGAGTTTAAGAAAAATATACAGGGTGTTTCATAAATGTGTGTCAATCTCTCTACCACAGATTCCTTGGCTCACAAATAAGTAGATCACCAATAGTTTCTGAGTTATACCCTGGTATCTGAGAACCTTCGAAAAATGGGTACTAATGGTACCTTTGGGTCGCAGTTTTCTTGGGTTAACGTCGAAATTAGTTTCTGAAAATTAGCATATCGGCCTAAAATTTTACGATCTTTCGATCTGTGATGAAAAAACGATACCTTAATAACGCATTTTCTTGAAATAATTCACTATTTTCATCAATTTTTCGTATTTTCCTGTATTCCTGGGTTAATTGTAACCCCTCCAATCAAACTTTTTCAGTGTTTTTGGGTTGGATGGTCTAGTGGACCTCCATATCTTTCCAAAGTGCTAAAAATCATGAATTTATGTCGAAAAATGCGCTTACAGTAGCCATTGGCGCGGAATCAGGGCGTGCTGGTCCAAAATGTACCGAAGGCTGTAACCCCACCAAAACGGCCCCTGAGGAAAAAGTGCCCACATACTTTTTTACCCCTCGTGAGCTAAGGAATTTGTGGTGGAGAGATTGACACAAAATTATGAAACACCCTGTATACGAAATGATACAATTTTACTTTTCCGTACACAACGTGTCAAGGGAAAGTATAGGAATTGGTCCCGAAAACTTTTTTCGCAAAATTAGCTTAGATCATCATAAAAACTCATGAAACGCGTAGAAAACCACTTTTTGAGACACTTTTCCGTTCGTGTGCCGTCGTCGTCGTTGTCGTTGTCGTCGTCGTAGCTGTTTGTTAACATGATAACTCAAAAAATAATTGAGATAATCAAAATCTGGAAATGCCAAAAGTTTTGTATCCAATAAACTTAGTTTAAGTTCAAAGATGAGCCATTTTCGATTTGACCCTGGGGTACTTGCCCTAGGAAAAACCTCAAAAAATTGACACTTTTGTATGGGAGGTACCTGTAAATCGACTCCGATTGGCTTCAAACTTTCTGAGGTTTCATTTTTTGGAAAAAAAATAAGATTCTGAAAATTTCATGTTGATCGCATTTGCAGAAGTTTGATTTTTTGTCCCCAAATTTTGTCGACATTTTCTTGGAAAAAAAACTTCTGCAAATGCGATCAACATGAAACTTTCAGAATCTTATTTTTTCTACAAAAAATGAAAACTCAGAAAGTTTAAAGCCAATAAGAATCGGTTTACGGGTACCTCTCATACAGAATTGTCGAAGTTTTAGTTAAAGTGACCGATTTTTCATTTTATTTTTATTATTTAAAGTATTATAAAAGTACCTACGGACAATGCAGGCCAACGGTACGGAAAAGTTCGGGATTACTAATGTAATTCTTTTTATTATAAATTACAGTTCTGGATAATGTGCACCGACTATTTTCAAGAAAAACGAGGACGTTTTCTCGATTAAGAAAAAAAGGAGAAGTTTTCAATTTTTGGAATTTCATGAATAATAGGGTGGGGTACTGAATTTTGATTATTATCATTCACTTTTTAGAAAGAACTGTCACAAGTTTTTCGAAGATCGAAATATGTTTCAACAACATTTTATCGACTGTTTTGATTATCGAATGGATACATTTTATTCTTGCTGCTTACACTGTCTTTGTTATTGCGAATGGCCCTAAAAAGAATTGCCATATAAGGCAAGAGAATTTTTGCAATTTTTTTTTTGACAAATAAATAATCGCAGAAAAAATCATGTGCTTATTTACAAGGGCAGAAAAGAATTACGGGCTCTTAAATTTGAATGAAAATGATAACTAATTCGCATTGAAATGTCAAGGTCCATAAAGCAGCTGATATGGACGGAAAATGCATATTCCGGATGATGCTATTTATTTTGAAAAAACAAATTTCATTTTAGTCTCTAATTTTCTCTCCTATTTTCGTGTTTTTTTTAATTTATTCAACCGGTAAAAACGAGGACATTTTTACTAATTTCGAAAATCTTCGAGGACGCGAGGACAGCTATCAAAAACGAGGACTGTCCTCCTGAAACGAGGACGTCTGTGCACATTAGTTCTGGAGAATGAGTTTTAGAAAAATCTGCTATTTTATTTATTTATTCAATTATCTCTGTGTGGGCAATTATTGGGGAAACCACACAAAAAACCCATTTTCGTTTTATACATTTTAAAGTTAGTATGATTAGTGGGCCCTATGGCACTCACATAAAAAGATAATTGAATTTACTTTGTTGCATGATGGAGGAATTGTTACGTTTTCTTATTAACCTATAGTTTTGATTAATTTTGTATGTTGAAGTCGTGTATGTTAAATAAAATGAGTATTTTTATAAAAAACATACCTATAAGTTACACGTTTATCCTGTAGCGCTCTCATTAATGGTAATATTAATAGCCAGAAATTAATTTAATATATTTAAATCACTCAGAAATAGTATCCCCGACAATTTTTTGAGAAAATTTTCGAATTCTGGAAACCTCTTTTAGAAATCTATTTGGTACCCCACTGCGTTTTCGAAAAAACAATAGCTCGTCACTGTGATATCGAAAATACATATGTCTCGTATGCAAAGTATCCATTGCAAAACCTTCGAACTTTGCTATGATGCGTGACTCAAATGTATTGTACGGTTTATGATAAAACCTTTCAAATTCATTTATTTATTAATTCGCAATTTTTTCGCGAGTAATAAATTTTATTTCACAAAAATTGGTTTCGACTTTTCAACACGGAGAAACGGCACAGTATGCATGGATTTGTGTACACAACTGAGTGATTGTGTGCGATGCTAATAACATGAACTGATACGTTTATATTTGATTGTTCCATGATTGATGATGATCAATACGGCAAACATTCGGCGAATTCGGACAGGCGCATCGCAAATTATCGCATAAAATTATCCAATGCAAATATTTACACGGATGGAACTATTTCTTGGCAATTTCTGCTCATGAAAAATGTTGCTAATATACACAGAGAAATAAGTGGTTAGATCTACCCAACCTATGCTTTTGGCCGGCGCAAGATAGCGGTGGCGTCTAAATAAGATGTATTAGCAATTTGCGGCATTTTTAAGAACTATCAATACTTTTTGTTGTTGTCACGAATTTTGCAACAACAAGAAGTATTGATAGTTCCTAAAGTTGCCGCAGATTCTATTTAGGCGCCACCGCTATTCACTGTCACGTCAAATACATTGGTTCTTATGGCAGAGAAGCACACGTTGGATCTACCTCTCAGAATAATGCGAAACATCAAATCACAACGAATGTTTGATTTTCTTCAACAATTTTTTTTTTCATATTGACCTCAGTATTGTATACCGATTTCCTACCCGTACAGAAGACTTCCAATTTTTTTAATACTGAGAGTCTACTGTACTTTCATAAATGGCAACTTATAACCAATAATTATGATTTCATGCAAATATTGCACCAAAGTTGTCTAAATACACAAATGTCTACGATTTTAAACACTTTTTCACCACTTTTCGTTATTTTGTTATGCATGTTTTTTTTTTCAAAAATTCTGGAATTGGGTTTTAGTGGATCCTGAAGATCGTTTAGAACTGCTCCCGGTTCTGGAAGTGGATCCTCAGGATGGACCAGGGCATTGTTTGTTGTAGCCATCCACGAGTTGGCGAGTTAATATTCTTATCTTTGAAGTCAATGTTGAATTATTTACCATATGTTTCAAATCATGGTCCATGTCAACTCAATGCACTCTGCAATCAACATGAATCTGCCTTAACCGACGTAAAACTTCTCATCAATTTATCTATCTGATAAATTGAGTGACGACTTTTGCAGTCTCAAAGTCTTAAATTTAACGCGTAACAAATAACGCTTCACATAACCTTTGTCCCTTTGGAAACGTTTACCAAAGGTTATCCTGGACCGTTTACTATAGACTAATATCAAGCATTTCCATCTTAGTTGTATGACTATTTTAGTTTTCATGTTCCTACTATTGTGAATACCGCAGATGTACGAAAAGAGCCAGGTTTTTAACGAGGCGAGAACTGATAGTTGTCGAAACCTATTGCTACTAATTGTTTATTATTTTAAATATGTAACAGTCTTGCACTCTTTTCCGGCCAAACCTCAATCAAAACCCACATTATATTCAGCCAGAGCTTGGCGGTGTTTAATAAAATAAAATAAAATAAAATTGTCAAAACCGATCTTATACATCCTGAAGATCCACTTCCAGAACCGGGAGCAGTTCTAAACGATCCTTAGGATCCACTAAAACCCAATTCCAGAATTTTTGAAAAAAAAAACATGCATAACAAAATAACGAAAAGTGGTGAAAAAGTGTTTAAAATCGTAGACATTTGTGTATTTGGACAATTTTGGTGCAATATTTGCATGAAATCATATTTATTGGTTATAAGTTGCCAATTATGAAAGTGCGAGTAGCCCCTAGAGGTAATCGGTATACAATACTGAGGTCAATATGAAAAAAAAATTTGTTGAGAAAAACCAAACATTCGTTGTAATTTGATGTTTTGCATTACTATTCCGAGAGGTAGATCTGACCACTTTTTTCTCTGTGTACTTTTGTTTTTATTTTCAATTTTTTGAACAGGTCCGGCTTATGACATGATGAAAAGATGCGGTTTAAACGAAAAACCAGATAGTTCCTTCAATTTTTTTCCTACAATTCATGATGCTGTGCACCAGGCTATGGATAATTTGGCGCCAATTAGCGTTATTACAGAATGATACAGATTTTGTAGAATAATTAGACATAGCCAATACGCTTTTGAATATAATTTGTATGTGTATATATATATGCTATATATGGATTAATTATCATTATATGTAATACCAAAACCTTCACAAGCACTATGAAATAAAGATAAATTTCATCAAATACTGGAACACCATAATTCGGAATTTATCGGAGCAAAGTACGGAATTTTGGCACAACAACAATGGTCACAGTCTCATCCGATCTGACATCGTCAATTACCTCTTAATTAATTAAATGCAATGACGATGCTGCTCCGTGTGTTATGTTTCATTCATATGGTCCGAAGATGCTGAAAAATTTCGCTAGAAAATCAGAAAAAAGGCAAATAAAAAATTACAAACTGGATAAGGAGTTTGAACCAATTTCCATGCTGCTTACCGGTGTGGTAAGGTTATGTGTTGGTTCCGAATAAATACTCGACAGTGTGGATAGTTTCTTCTTTAAACTATTGCTATTCGATCTTTTGGGACTTATTTCTCCTGGGCAATTTGGTAAGATTGGTACTAGGTCATTGTTAGTGTCATTGTGCTTGTGTGTTGCTCCGATATTGTTGGCGATGCCAACACTTTTCCAGTCGGTGATGCGACGTTTGCTATTGCAATTGGTTGCATTGATTGAATTCCCGATTTTCCCTTGTGAAGTGAGCTTCAAGTTGCCGGTCAGCCATTGTGGTGGAGGTAATATTCGTGAACTCGAATCTTTGATTTGTTGCATAGAATTTTATGTGCTAGTATCACGTGCAAGAATCGAATTCATTGTGCTATTATTCAATGGTTTCAATGTTGCATCGATTAAATTTTGTGATCGATCGCGGTCACGTTTTGTCATAACACCAGCCCGTACATTGAATAGCATTTGATTTGATGGTTGATTAACAATTGGTTTGCTCAATTGATTGCTTTTCAGGAAGGTAAATCACCTCAGCAACATCCAACACATTCGAATGTCGCCGATAATTGAAGTATTGCTGTAAGGTAGGAAGGAAATTGATTAAAAATTAACTGCATAAAAAAATGAAAATGCATTGCCCACCCGTGGTAGATTTTGTCCATTAAGAAGAAGCGCATTGCCGGTGGTATTTGGATTGTTTTTAGTGATGTGCGTGACAGGTGAAAGACGTTTATTTTGGAGTTGTGTATCATGTTCGGTAGACGTAAGCAATGATTCGGGTTGGAGTGATTGGAATGGGACTGGTGACGGTGGCGATTGAACACAGATTGGCTTTTTTCGCCGTTTAATCCATTTGATTTATTCATTTTGGCTGATAAAATTCGCGAATATTTATTACCGTCCTTGAATCCCAAGAGAAACTGCCAATACGATTATACGCTGTCTATCCGCCGAAAATACACTACAATATATATTCACGCTTATTGGACGCCGAATTCAATATATATTCTAGTGTATATTCGGTGTATTCTTCAGCGTGAAACATATTGAAACATATTCAGGCGCCCTCAATTGGCCATGAATGCATTCATTGATTCAATATGTTTCACGCTGAAGAATACACCGAATATACACTAGAATATATATTGAATTCAGCGTCCAATAAGCGTGAATATATATATATTGTAGTATATTTTCGGCGGATAGACAGCGTATAAACATATTGACCGTTTCTCTTGGGATGTTAAATTATTTATAGAAATTTGCTTATTGGCTGTGTCATTTCCTTGTCCTGACTGATTGCCATCGCCATTACTACTACCAGTAAAACCCCCACCACCACCACCGCCAGCGTTGCCATTTGTGCGTTGTTGTTTGTTCGATGGAAGATTTGTATTTGACAATTCATCATTAATATTGACCTTATCGCTAAGTGAATCACCATTTGAATAGGTTTTATTGTGTGTAATGGTAATGTTTGCATTTGGTTCGGAAATTTGTTGTATTGGTTTTGCTAAGTTCACCGGTTGAAGTAATTGCGTTGATAACACTGACAAATTCACTTTATTTCATTCGATTTAATATCCTTTTGACTTTTTTGTTTTATCCGTTTTCTTTTCGTCATTATTCCAACGACCATTTGAACCGTAGCTTGGTATACGCTTGAGCAATGGATTGACTTGCATTTCTTGTGCTAATTGTATAGGAAATTAAATCTCATCTTTCTTGAAGATTTGGTAGAATTCTAAGAGAAGAAAAGATGATGAATTTGATGAATGTAATAAACATGTCTGAAGTACAAATACAAATGCACTAAGCGTTTGATTCATATACTCTACTGACAAAAAGTGGGTTCCAATCACTCATAAATATATACATACAAAAATGACGGAAATAGCTTGAATGAAATCTGCATTTCATGTTCAGTCCATGTCTTGAAAAGAATTATTCGGCAAAGCATAAATTGTCTTGTATCTGAAGAAACAATGATGATTTTAATTATTAAGTGCTATTGTTCGGTTCCACATTGGTGAACTAAGATATTCATTTTCTCTTCTATCACGCTGTCTGGAATATTTCAATAATAGTAATTAACCCAACCTAACTATTACTCAATATTAATGTTTTTAATTGTCTCTGTTTATTTTTCCATGGCAAAACCAATTTTTTACGTAGAATTTTGGTTCTGTAGTCATTAGCAGTCGATGTAACTGCTTCAGTCTGTGGTTTATTTGAATACAGTGAAGATCTTTTAGATATTTTCGCCTGAGTTCATCATCGAATCGCAACAATATTACTATTCATATAAAAATGATCCACGGAATAATATCAGTGTTGATTGTTTTCTGTATTTTTATTCTCTACGGAGAAGCAAGAAAATGGTTCATCAAAAGGAAATTGCGTAATTTCCCCTCACCGCAGCAAGTACCAATTATCGGAGCGGCTGTTCGTTTTTTTGGGAAATCAAATGATGAAATTATAAAAATAGTTTTTGATACGTTTGATGAATTGAAAACGACACCATTTCAACTTTGGTTGGGTCCAATTTTAGTGATCGGCATCTCACAACCGGAGGACATTCAAACTATTCTAACAAGCAGTGAATGTCTGAATAAGCCATATTTCTATGATCATTTTAAGTGCAAAACTTCAATCATTGCCACGGACAGAGAAATTTGGAGGCCACACCGTCGCGCCTTAAACACGTCATTTAATGTAAAAATGCTGCAGCAATATGCGCCATTTTTGAATGATAAATCTCGAATTTTACTCAAGAAAATGGAACCATTTCTAGTGGAACCCGGAGATTTATATCGCACTATATTCATTTGCATGATAGGTATATTATTTTTGAATATTTTTTCTGCACTTCTGCCTAGAAATTAGATATGATTACACGAACTATATTTTTTTCAAATTTAGACATGATTACACGAACAACGATGGGAACTGAGATGGATTTGCAATCAGAAAGAGGCGCATCATTATACAAAATTATCAAGCTGGTCATGAATAACATTCAGTACCGAGTTATAAGATTTTGGTTACGGTGGGACTGGATTTACAACAACTTTTCGCAAGTGGGTCGTGATGAACGAATTCATGTAAAAAATGGCAATATGCTTTTCGATGAAATATATGACACCAAATTAAACGAACTTGAATTATTAAAATCTCAAGATTTCGATTATTTGGAAGAAGTCAAAGTGAAAAATGCAACCAATCTACTCGAAAGGTGTATGATTTTAGAACAAAGTGGAGTTTTTACCCATGAGAATGTTCTAGATCAAATGCGAGTGATCATTCTCGCAGGAATCGATACTTCGTCCATCACTATTTTCAGTGCGCTACTAATGTTGGCCATCAATCAAAAGCATCAAGACGCCGTATTGGAGGAGCTACGATCAGTTATTGAAACGGCCGATTGTGATGTAACTCCAACTCATTTGACAAGCATGCCGTATTTAGATCGTGTTCTCAAGGAATCGATGCGTTTACTATCACCAGTGCCTTTTATTGGACGGAAACCCTCCACTGATATCAAACTAAGCAAAGGTTGCATCCCGCAGGGCTCGATGGTTGTGATAAATATTATGCATTTACATCGAAATCCAAAAATTTGGGGTGAAAATGTTCTCGAATTTAATCCTGATAGATTTTTACCGGAAAATGTCGCCAAACGTCCACCGTTCAGCTACATACCATTTTCGGCCGGGAGCAGGAACTGCATTGGTATGAAATACGCTATGATGTCGGCCAAAATTACACTGGCTCATCTATTGCGACGCTATAAATTTACCACGGACCTGAAGTTTGAGGATATCCGAGTAAAAACACACCTTGTACTCGAAGTGATCAATGAAAGAGCACTTCGGATTGAAGAACGGAACTCTTAAAGCTTCGTTCATCCAGAAAAAATTCTAATAATCCGTACACCGATTGTAACGGAATGACAGCTACTACAGCGCCGCCCATTGAAGATATACTTCTTAGCTGCATTATATCTTTTTTGAAATATTTCAACTTTGACGTGTACACTTGATAGACGTTCATACATTTCACACGAATTGCCGTGTGAATCCATCTATGTTTAATATTACTGTGTTGATTTTTATCAGAGTTTGACTCAGGCGCCAGATATATGTATTGGCATAGAAAAAATATGCGGATAATATTTCAGTATATAACGGCACCCAGCTGCACCGTGTATCAGCACACTGAACGTAGTAGTATAGGACGGTTTGTTTATAAAGAAAAAAATTGTTAATAAACAAAAAACTTCCAGAAGTGTACAGCGCAACGCCTTAACATTGTATGAAAATTAGCGAATATTCAACAAATCAGACAGTTTATGCTCCAAAAAACATACCCATTGTTAAAATACGAAGTCAATGGTAGGAATCATTTGTGTGGCGTTGCAAGACCAATCCATAGCCATCGATATGAGGCCAAACTTTGCTACCATTGGGTACATAGTGGCTCTTTGGTGAGGTCTCGATAAGAATTTTCTACCAAAATGCTCAAATTGACCATACAATGAACCAGTATTATTGAAAAAATGGGAACAGTCATACCATCCCAACCGCGATTCCACACTTAGCTTCTAAATGTGACACCGTAGTAAGTGTGGGCATACGTTTTGCGAATAAGCGACAAAGAGAATGGAAACAAGTGCGCGTGTGGTAGTGAGAAGCCTGATGCGATGCTTCTCAATGTAGCGACTAATACACGCGCACTTGTTTCCATTCTCTTTGTCGCTTATTCGCAAATCGTATGCCCACACTTAATACGGTGTCACATTTAGAAGCTAAGTGTGGAGTCGCGCTTGGGATATGTAAAAGACCTTAAGTTATTCAATGCATTCAAGCAGATTTGTGTAGTAAAAAATAATGTGAATGCTATATTCTGGGGTGGTGACTAGCAAAATGGACCATTTTCGACATTTCACTATTTTGGTGGCGCCATCTGGATTAGAGAGTAATGTTTTGCTATAAGCAACGTGTCAAAATGAAGGTAGAGGACCACGAAAGTGATTTCAGATTCGTTTCACTGCAAATATATTGGATATTCACTGAAAAAATGCCGATAAACTTCAGTGTACGAACAATTTTGTGAGACCCGAAAAACGACACTTCCCCATATTTGGTCCCAATTTTTTTATCTGTTCAATATTTATGTCAAATATATACATAAATATCTGCTAAAAGTGTTAGTCTTTTACAATCTTGTGCTCATACAATTCAATTGTCACGAAAATTAATGAAAAAATGAGATTTTGTTCGGAAAAGCAAGGTGTACGAACAATTTTGTGAGTAACTGTATATATAATATATATACATATATAATGCAGCTAAGAAGAATTTATAAATAATAAAGAAGACCGCTTTTGTACGCTTCACAATTTCTGATGTCGTTCAAATGCTCTCTCATTCGCACTTTGGGGGAGCGACGGGTTTGACCGATATAAACGGCGCCGCAAATGGAGCAAGTTGCTTTGTATACGCCTGGCTTGTCGATGTTGTTGCGCTTGTCTTTGGTCGAATTTAGCAACGATTTGAGTTTGGTGGTGCTTCTCGGTGCCAATGTGATGTTCTCTTTACGTAGAGATTTTGAAATCGAGTTGAATGTGTGTGCGTCGTAAGCCATACGACACCAAGTCGTTTCTGTGTCATCACATAGAGCAGTGCAATCGTTGCGTAATTTTTAAGAAGAATTTTTACAATGGGGGCGCTGAAGTAGCTGGAATTTGATAATTTCATAAGGAATCGGTGTACGTAATAATCAAATATATTACAATTATAAAATGGATTTAAAATTGTTAAATGAAAAAAAAAAATTTACTCGAATTTAGTTTCAATTCTATGGGTGAGATTGAGAGTATTGTATGTTTTTTTCGGGTTTATATTTTTAAAAAGTCGAGTATGTTTTTCAGTGATTTTGTTTTGTATTTCATCCATATTATTTTCCATGCGCTGCTGTTTCAGTGATATTGTCATTTCACTCTTTTGTATTGATACGTATACTGTTCGTTCATGCTAATGCAGCGAGCCGAGCTTAACGACGTTATCTCACTAATGCTGACATTTATGAACTCCTGATACTCTTCATCGAAAGAACTTTATATTTTTAACCATTCATGCAAACATACACACACAAAAGAATTCATGACAAATCACTAAGTGTCATCGCAAACTGAGATAAATAGTATATTAAAGTTTATAGGCCTCCCAGATCGATTTCAGCTCAAGTCGGGAATTTTGTAGCTCCAAAGCGGGAAAAATGAACCGAAATCGGGAATTTTCCAAATTCAATGAATTTACTGTAATCCAAAAACATTTATTTTACGTCACAAGAAAAAAATAACATTATGTAATTTTCGCTTTTTCAACATGAAAATTGACAAGAAAGACAAACTCTGAAAATTAACTCGTTCTCCCAGAGTACGGAACACTTTGTATCTTCGTAGTATCTAGGCCATGTTATATGTCGTTTAAAAATTCTTGTGGAATACATGTGGATTTTGATATAAAACAAGGCTTCGTGATAGCATACCTTAGCACGCAGTATATTTAAGGCTCGGTATAATATACTAGCATATCGAATACATACAGCTGCCGCACGCACTTCTCTCGCGCGCGAACGGTTGCGTACACAGCCATCGCAACCAACTCAAAAACAAAACTTACTATCAACGCAACCGTTTGCGTGCGAGAGAAGTGTGTGCGACAGCTGTGTGTGTGTGCGATATGCTGCTATATTATACCAAACCTTAAATATACTGCATGCTAAGGTATGCTATCACGAAGCCTTGATATAAAACGTCCAAATTGGTGGTCATTTGGCCGAGATATGCCCATATAAAAATTATGGTCATTTCATTTCATCATTTTCCAACGACCATACAGTGTACACTGCACCCTTAGTATTACATGCAAATTCTTGAATTAAATAATAGGTTTTATTCATATTATTATGAAGAAATTTTTCAAAAAAAGTCAAATCTGGAGAATTTTGGCCCAAATCGGGAATTTGGTCCAATAATCGGGACGGCGGGGATGGCGACGAAAAGCGGGAATGGGAGGTCTAATTATAATGGTGTTGGCATATACGAATGCGATAGAATTCATCGCAAAAGCATCAGCACCATTACATACATGGTTTATCCCGGCTTGCGATGAAATTTAGTGGTTATGTTTTCTCTATGTACTCTACTTTTTCGAAAACCAATGTGTTAAATGAAAGTATTTGGAGCCAATGGTGCAAATGATAAGTTCTATTGAATTGTTTGTCCAATACTTTAAATTCGAATAAATTAATAATATTCACCAATTTGCACAAACATACACGCCTTTTCCAACAACCAAAGTCAGAAAGAAAAACACACTCCTGTTTATTGGTTATCCAAACTAAAGAAATACATACTCTTCTTTAACGCAAATTAGGGCCTATGATACATGCAACATGCTCGCCTTTATCACAGCTACAAACAGTCAAAATATTTACTCTACTTTAACTATTTTTAAGTCGAAAGAAACTTACTCTTTCCTTTTGTTACAAAGTCAGTGAAACATAACTACTCTCAATATCACCCATAGAATTGTACAAGTTTAATAAAGTTAAAAATAATCATTTGCATACTTACAGGGATTTTTCTCAATACAATCCATATATTAGATTAATCTTCTTTATTGATGTTCCAGCTCTCATTACTGTAGATACTATCTACAGTCTGAAACTTATGGGACCATCATTTTTTCTTCAAAACTGTAAAAATTCTAATACAACATTTGCGCACGTAAAGAGACTATGGGCTTATGTGTCGTACGAATCAGTGTAAATCAATGCGGAGCATTGCATTATAGCCAAATTCCACATTTTGTTGGCATTTGAATCTGAAAGATGTTGTGTGTTCGTCTCACTTTCTCATTTATGATCATTCGGATGGCGCATTGAAATGGAATATAAACATAAACACACCAACTGCGTTCATTCTCGTCACCCATTTCATTGCAGCACTGAATTTATAAAATGAACAGCGCCATACATTTAAATATTGGTGAATATGCTGAAAAAAAATTTGCACTCATTTAATGAGTGTATTGCATGTGGATGAGATGAAACAAAGCGAAAGAGAAGCGCGCGACGACTTTATGCGCAAATAGGTTTATCTCACTCCCGCTACATAAAATCGTTGTGTTTTTGTTCCGTACATTGTTTGGTTGGCACAACCGTTCTTGTTTTTTAGCATTATTTCTAAATGTCAATGCGGTCAAGACATATCGCTCAGACTGTACATTCTTTTCAATTGTCAAATTAGTACTCGTAGGACCAAAACACATCAATTTAACTTTCCGCATCATTAGTTTTATGAAATTTAATTTTTTCAAGCTTTTATAGTGATTTGTGATAAATCCATTTTCCGACTCTTTTCCGATTTTCTCGACAAATACGCAATTTTTCAGAAATATAAGTATGAGGTCTTTCTCTATTTATCGTGGCATAAAAAATATCAAAATGATTCAAAAACAAAAAATTGTGCATCAAAGGGTTAAGGCAGACAACAATGTATTTGATGTTTTGGGTATTGAAATCCCTAGAGAAAAAAACAGTTTTTGCTTATCGATCGACTTTGGCTCTTATTTACATAGATAATATCGCTGAAATTGGTGGAACTCATAAACGAAAATCGTGAAGTATTAGTTGAATCTATTTATGAAAATATTATTCCATTCAAATTTTTGGCAGCGCATCGAAACTTCATGCGGAATTTGTCAAATTATATAGATCAACTAAAAAATCGTGAATTTGAACACAAAATGGATTTATCACAATTCCCGTATCCATCAATATGCTTCATTCAGACCATTCAATCTGATGAAAACATAGGGGTATCGCAACGACCATAAAATATATGTATTTCATCAAGTCTATCAAGCTCTTTCCAAGTTTATGCATAGTGTCGAACTTTTGTTCATGCTCTACCATCTAAATGTACAGTAAAATAATTTACGGGCATGACGTAAGATGGCGTTTTTTCTGGTCAAAAAAGATACAATATCCCTTTAGATGAAAATATGATGGATTAAACTAGAAGTGTCAAAGCATTTTTTTTACACTGAACACATTTAGTCATTCTACACATATTATATATTCATATGATGTATGGCAAATCTTGTTATTAATCATTAAGCATTAACTTGCCCATTCCGAAAATAAGTACAGTCCGTATTTTTCATTAAACAGAACAAGAAAAGAAAAGAATTATAGGAGACGAGCTGAGATCGAATGGTTTGCAACATGGCATAATTTAAGGAATTTCGATTTTTGAGTATTGACAACTGCCATTTGATCTGGGGCGATTAAAAGTTCAAATATCCGAATACATGATGAAGCTTGGAATATCTAGTCTTAGTTTTAGTATATCAGACCGATGGATTTAATTGCCAAGTATTGGAAATTGCAATGGGTTTATGGGCAGTCAGGATTACAACAACAACA